CTGGCCATTTAAAAAAAAAAAGTAAATGTATATCAAATTTACAGTTACTCCTCTTTTATTTCTGTATGGATAAATATATACATACATATTACATATGCATATGTATATATATACATACACACATACAAAGCCACATAAACTCATACAAATATATAAATATAAACATTCATAAAATTCTAAATACCAGCTTTTCTCAAGATGTTGTCAGTGCTTCATAAATTTATAAATATTTTACAAAATTCACTTTGACATATTGAAACCCCAAAGCGTAACATTCATCTGCTTCCTTTACTGTTCACTCATGATTTATTTCCTATCTGGCAAAACTGATTAATCACCTCTATTATGATTGGGTTTATGTCACTTTTTAATACACTGAATCCTTGATTTTTACCAAAGCTAATTTCCTTTTAAGATTTGTCTGAAGCAGTCTATTATAATATACTCCTCTGGGGTCTGCATTTAAATTGATTTGTCATTATTTTCCATTCCATTGACCTAAGCCCTGTCCTCCTCAAATATATCAGTGTCGAGCTCTGCAGTGAGTATGATGAGGCTCAGTTACAAGGAGGAAACCAAGGATGGCAATGATTGGTGCACAACCCTTCTGACAAGCTCCTCTGTGTTTTTGATAGCTCACACCTATGCAGGTGAGTTAGTGTGGGTCACAAAGAATACATAAGCCACATAACAACCAGAAAGACTTTGTAAGAGATTTTGTCTGAGCAGGATAATAATGTCTATGCCTGGTCAGGATCTGGGCTTCCATTCAGTGGTAAAGGCTGAGGTGATATTACTCCTCATGTGGAGTAGAAGTTTCCTTTAGATTTTTCCCTTAACTGCAACACCTCAAGCAGTCCAATAATAAAAAGGGATGTCAAAACCTCACACTGAGAAAAGAACATTGCTGACTCAGGCACTATCACCAATTCTCTGCAATTCTCTTATTTAGTATTAAGGCCTTTTATTCAAGAACAGCTGAGCTTCATTCCTTTGTGAGCTGAAAAACTCATAACACACAGGAGAAGAAGTGGAGATTCAGCCATGATCCTGAGCACTCACCTCCCCAAGTGCTGAGGTCAACCAAGGCACTGTCCTCTCAAACCCACCTGCCTGGTCAGCTTCTCCTTCTGGGAAGAGCAGAGGAACATCTCATTGAGCAGCACTTGCAGCTTTGGCAGGTGAATACCTCTTCTACACTCGTAAATAGTCAGTTGCTTGTAACTAGGACTGTATGTCAAGTGAGATGAAAGTGGTGGTGGTCTGGGCATATCCCTTTCAGATCATCTATGCAGTCAGGGTGCTGGATGGTGGTTCCTATGGCTCTCCAGTGAGTGCTGACATGCAGATCACAGCTGCAAGGCTGCATAGGACATGTTTGCTACCTTGTCCTTGAGCTAAATAGCTTTTTACCAGGATTCACTACCCTTATCCAAACAAACAAACAAAAGCTAGACTTTTATGCTTATGATGACAATAACTTCCTTCCAGGGAATGGGGAAACAATTTCATTAATAGCTCATAACAACTTCTTTGTATTGAAACAAGTTGGTCTTTTTTTGATTAATTTTCTGAACTCTGTTCACTTAGGTTGTTCTTTTTAATATTTTGTAATCCTTGTTGCTTTCTTCTGAATTTTCTCCACTGCTTCTCAATTCCTTTCAGTTAGGATTTAATACTCTAACCAAAACCTTAACAGTATTGAACAGAGTGAAACAAGAACCTCTCTGTAGCATACAGGAGATGTCCCTACATCCCCAGCATCTGACTTGCCACTTTCTCAGTGGCATGACTCAGTACTCAGTCATTCAGAGTAAATTTTAGGTATTCTGAAATGCTTCTGCCTCTCTCACTTTTTTACATTTTGTGTTTGAGTGTTTGTCTGAGATTCAGAGGGTAATTTCTGCCATCTCAGACAGGACGTGGGTGGAAGTGGCTAAGTTAAAGACAGCAAGATTCAGCGAGTCTGTATCCCACCATTGCCCAAACATGACAGTCTGGCTCCTAAACAAGAAGACAAGGACACAAAAAGCATTCTGCCCTGTGCTCCAGCCCTGAGGTGGTTCATAGCTAGGACAGAGACAAACACCATCTCCACCCAAGGCTTGGCAGTAGTTCAGCCTGTTGGAATTCCTTAGACACTTGACACAGAGCAAAATGCAGTGGCCACGGAGATATCTACTGAGCAGCCTGGATGGAAGAGGATGAGCCATACCTCAGACACACAAGTTTGATTTTTATAGATCTGACGCCTCCTTCCTTCTATGGGTAATTTGTTTTAGCTTGGCTTGCAAAGTCAAGTCCAATAATGTGTGTGTGTGCCACAATTTAAGATTGCATAAACATGGATGATTACACAGCACAATAATTTGTTAAGCCACACTAATTTAATTATATGCTAATACATTCACTATTAGATTTCCCCTTTTCTTAAGAGCATGTGATTAAGTATATGTTGATTTAGCATCAGCTTGACTCTCCTTTAGCTTGTGATCCACCATAGACCACATTTTCTTTGCTTTACTTTTCCTCAAAGGGATATTTTGTCACATCTGAGCTTGATCTCATCTTTCAGTATAGCATTTTTCATTTTTTCTTCTCTGAAATACATCACATTGAATTTAGAAAGTGTGTCCAGCTTTTGGGGATCACTGTGAATTTTGATCATGTCCTCTATGTAACCACTCACAGGTTGATGAATATTATATTTTTTAGAAAACACCAAAGTTGTCAATAAAATTTCTGTCTAGTACTGAGGGCAAGTTAGATTTTTCTAGGATTCTCCCTTTCTCTCACACTTCAAAAGGCCTTTAGATTTCACAATGGGCTAAGGATATATGTATCTTAAAAATAATATTTTCGGCTGCATCAGTTTTAATTTTACAACAATTTTATTTAGAAAATATTTTCCTAGTTTAATTTTACACTGTATCAGAGGCCTTAATGAAGTAAAGATCTATCACAGCTTACTGTTTTTACCTAATTCCTTATGTAAAAACATACTCTTAGAGAAGAACATTAAATTGACTGTCATGATAGGATGTTGGCAAACCTCTGTTGCCTAATTTTTATCACAGTATTATCCCCTAGCTACTTATAACTTGCTTGTTTAAAAATTCACTGCAGAATCTGTCCAGGGACTGTGGTAGGGCTGCAATAGGTTATGTAAGCTACTTGTCTACATTTCAAAATTTTCACACGTCAGCTGTGCTGCTGCAGTTAAAACAACAGCAGCCTTCCACAAACCCACTGTCAGTGTCAGTGCAGTTCAACTGGAATAAATATGCTAATTCCAGAGCATGTATTCTGCACCTGATTATTTGGTTCAGCAATTGAAATAAAATGTCACATCTATGCTCCAGCTTTACTTGACCTTACTAGTTCATCAGTGATGCCTGTCCTTATTTATATGGGTATGCCTATAATTCCAAGGCTGACATGCAACCATCTGTGAAGCTGTTGTACAAGAAACAGCTTGCTTGTTAGTTCTGAGATCCTTTCCAGATTGCAGGAAGGATAGCCCTATTTTAGGGAACTCATGGAGGCTAAGAGAGGATAAAAGGTTATTGAAATTTTGCCTGGAAATGATCAAGGCCTTAGTTCTAATATAACAGTACAGAACTGCAATGAGTGATGCTCTATGTCGTAACAGCTAGTGTTAGGAGACAGACAAAAACAAGCACTAAGTTGCTCTAATGACCCTAAATTTCATTCTCATATACTGCTGATGTATTTTTTAGCTGAAAAGTTTTGAACCTTCCACAACAGGTATTAAAGATGAAAATTCCTTCATAGAAGTAATGAGCCAGCAGAGTACTAAATGTTGAATTTTGTTGGTCTTACTGCCAAGATCTTTCCCAACCTAGCATCATTCATTAAACAAGAAGATGTTAGCTTCCACCTCCAGTTGACTCAGGATGCCAAAATAACCCATCTCTGTGTTAAATTTTCAAACAAACCTCTTTCTTGTGTTCACTTCCTTCATGGGAAGACATCCCTGAGGGCATCCTCCAACCCACTTCATTATCGTCTCTTTTTCTGATGTCTGTAAAACAAATGACAACTGATGGGATGCTGAGATGCTGCTCTTCATTTTAATTAATAGTTTGTCTCCTGTGTCTGCCTATCTGTTGTTTTTTACCTATTGGTTGGGTTGTAAACTCTTTGTGTTAAGGGAAATATATTAATTTTGTAAATGTACAATGTTGTCTTGGTCCACAGCTAGAGCTTATAAGTGTTACAATAGCATATATAATAAATGAGCAGTAAAAATCGAATTATTCAAGTAACTAAGCTCTTTTCTATGCCAAATAAATTCATATTTATCATAGTATTTCTGGTACCTCCTTTGTTCAGACTCAGGGACTCCACACATCTTTGTTTCATGCCTACCATGACTTTTTTCTAATCCAGAAATGTGGGAAAGTATTGATCAAATTTTCTGCTGAGTTGCTAAAGCCATTCCCAGAAAGAGACTTGTCTGTCCTGGAAGGAGATGAAAAAAATGAAGGAGGCTAGAAGTTCTTCTTGGCTATTCTGTTGCAAACAGTAAAAACATACAGAGAGATGCTCCAGGATTCACCTTGTCAAAACAAATCCATTCAGTTATTTCTGCACACTAATGACTGCTTACAAATAATTCAGTTTTGGGTGGTTTAGAAGCAATAGAGACTGTTATTCTTTCTGTTAATGGCACACAATGGTCTGATTCAAAATCAGTACATGATATTTTATACTTATAGTATATAGATGACTATAAATCAAAACACATCGATACCACTGCATAGCTGATTCTGTTATTTTCCATTTCCTTCAGATTTTATGTGTCTTCCTTTGAATTCAGCTAAAATCCTATAAAAAATATTTTAAAAAAATTAATTTCCTCACACTCCAAAGGCCACAAGTCTAGAGTAATAATTTAGTGTTGCCTACAAATTGTCTGATTGGAAATGCTGTATTTTACCTAATGCAAAATTTGGAAAGTAATAAAGAGTGTACTCTATTTTTTCTCAAAAAATTTAATTGCAGAATTATTTACAGGAGATGAACATAAACAATACATAAACCAATTGAAAGAGGCAGCTTCATAAAAGAGCCATGGGGCAAAATAGTGAAGCACATTTTCTTACAATCAGCTGGAGGTGAGTAGAGAACCATGAAAAAAGAATAACTCAATAATAAAACAATTTTCAAATATGCCTTCAAAGTAACAAATAACATTCTGGTAAAGAAGATATTACTGAGAAGCGAGAAATTATTGTAGCAATGAAACAACATACTGTACATTCAATTTAGGTATCCTGCATGCTACTAAATAGAATTTATCAAAAGAACCATAAAAGCATGAGAAAGAGAATTACATAAAATAGTTTAATTCTAGTGAAGTGTAGCTTTATACAGATGGTGAATATTTGGCACTCAGTTCATCCTCATTGTTGATACGATTTCTTATGTATATATATATTTATATATATTTATATATACTTTTAATGATAACTAAACAGCTAGTTTCCTGGTTCTAACATTCCTTGAAATTCTATAGGAGGCATTTAATTTAGTCCTTAGGCCACACTTGATTATTTTGGCATGTCACATGGTAAATGAAAGTATGAGTTTTGTCTCTGTACAGAAAATCCTGCACAGCCATAGTGGCTTTTCTTCAGGAAAGAACAGTTCTAGAGCATATAAGCCAGGCTACTTGAAAGGGAATTTTTCTTCAGTCAGGAAATTAATATATAAATTGAACTAAACAATACATACATGCTGAGCCCTTTTAAAACAAGATGGCCATATTAATAAACCTCCAAAGAGTAAATCAAAACATGGATATGAGTATGTGGATTCCATGGATAATTATAAACAGAGCTAGCATTTCTTTGTCAGGACTGCCTACAGACATTTCAACCCAATACTGAACCCTCTGCTTGATTGCGATCTACCTGAAAGGAAGAACGAGATCATACAAAGAAGTGATGCACCTGCTAAGTCGAATGAGTCCTTCCTACCTCAGCAGGTCTTGCTGAGTCAGACATTGATCTGAATTATACTGGTTCAGATCTGACATTTCTTTCTGGTTTCAGTTTCTTAGCTTTGACTCAATGGATAATTTGATACAACGGGGAACAGAACTTAGCCCTAAGCTCTGCAATAGTCTGTCTCACAAATAAGAAATTTGTATGACAGTTGAGCTTTAGGAATGTGAAATACTGTGGTCAATGAAAGAATGGCAAGGAAAGGAGAAGAAAATTCCTCACCAATGGGCTGTGTTGGTAAACAATGACCATATATTCAAATAAGCCTCCCCCTCATTTAAGCTTAGGTGAAAATATTTGTGATTTTGTACCTAGAGAAGTAAAAAATCCTGTCCAACAAAACCAACTTAGAAAAATAACAATTTGGCCTTAATAAAATATAGAATTAAATTGCCAGCTGATGAAAACTGTTCTGAGTTTGCTCAGCTACAAAGCAAGCCTTGTAGACCCACTAATTTAACTTATCTATGACCTGACTTCAAAAGCCCAGTTCTCTTTCAGCAGTGAAGGATAATGGGAGAAAAGCTGTATATGGTCAGGTGGATCTGTGAACATGAAGTCTTCTTTTGCAATCATCTTTTAAGAAATGTAATATGCATTTAATGAGAAGAGATCTGGAATACATTTTTTTAATATAGAATCATAGAATCATTTATGTTGGAAAAGACATTCAGTTATGAATGCCATGGCCTCTCACAGCTATTAGAATTTTATTTCATTAAGAGAAGCCTAAATCAGACTAAATATGCTGGCCAAATTTTCTTTTGGGCAACATTCCATTTCAATTTTTATTTTATACTTGCTGTCCTGAGCAGCCTATTATGTAGTTAAACAGCTACAGCATTATGCCATTGAGGTAGCTGCATTTCAGAGATAAATTAAGCAATTTCTGTGGATACAGAGGGCTTAATTCCTGTCAGGACTCATGAGTGCATATGAGTATGCCATAAAACAGCTGTTCCCAAAAATAGTCCCTGGAGGTGAACATGGTGAATAGTTGCTGATGGGCCGTGGGGCTGCAGTAGGCAGAGAATCTGCCACGGCTGTCAGTGTTGAGGATGAGCTGCAAGGAAATGGCACAATCTACAGGAATGTGAGCACTGACTGGTTCCTGGGTCCAGCTGTCTGGGACCATGACAGTGAAAAATTTTTATATATATAGATATATGTATATATTCTCTTTCTGTTCTATGCAGTATGAAATGGCAGCTTCTCCACTGCTGAAGAGGCGTCTCCTCTGTCCATGCAGAGAGAGGTGTCCCCGCTGCTCTGCCATACAAAGAACCCTTAGGGTTAGAGCTGGGTCTCATTAAAGAGCAGTTGCCCAAACCAAAGCACAATTATCATGCCTAAGTCCTGTGCCCTACGTCATCCCTCACGTTAGCTGGGCTGGAGGGCAGACACAGGGAGAGAACAGGGTGCTTGGGGAAGTCTGCTTTTGCAGCATGCATCCCGGATGGATCTCTCCTGCTCTCCTGCTAAGACAGCAGGGGAAAATGCTCTTGTGAGGGGAGACTTGCCAAGATTGCTGACCGAGAGGGCTCAGGTGCAGGCAGTATTAGCTCCTGAGCCTGGCGTGGACCAGGGGTCTCCTCCCAGGGAGCTCCTCCACTGCAGGGACCTCACTGCCATCATCATGGACAGACAAAGCAGAGACTGTTCTGGAAAGTTAATTTGGTGCTCATCACTCCCTGCCTAATCCCTGGAGAGATGGTAACAGCATCGTCCGTATTTATGCTTTGCTCAGGTCTTCCTCTCAGTTCAGCTAGTCTTTGCTTCTCCTTCAACACAGGCTCAGACTGTGAAGGTCCTCTCAGGTGCTGGAAGGGTGCTGTGGAAGGAAACTCCCCAGCAGCATGGGGACAGGCAGGAGAGCCCCCAGCATTCCACCATGCCAGGTTACCTGCCCCAGCTACAGCCCAACCTAGCGTTTGTGTGTTGACTAATAAAGTGCTTGGAGATCCTTCTGGATGAAAGGCACTGTATAAATGTGGGTGTCAACCTGTCATACACCAGGAAGCACCTCTCTAGACACATGTGCTGATATTCCTCACCTCAAACGCAGTTTATGCTTGGTATCCTTACATCATAAGATGCTCTAGGAACAGTAAAGGGAGTAACATTGCTTCACAAAATTCATTTAAGTCTCTAATATGAGGCTTCTGTTTCACAGCTTGACACCTGGAGCTGCCAAACCAGCTTCAGAGCCGAAATTGACATGCACAAACCAACACTTGATGGGTGAGCCCCCAGTGTGCCCCCTGCCACCGGTGCCATTGCTGAAATGCTGAGGAGGACATCAAACCCACCGGCTGGACAGGGCAGGCTCAAGGCTTTGAGCGTGAAAGGCTGAGCTGGGCTGATCTGGAGGCACGCTGCTCTGGGAGAGGGGGCCAGGGTGGACCTGCATGGAGAGGGCCTGGGACAGAGTGGCAGTGTTGCCTGAGGTGCCATGGGACCAGAAGCCTCTCAAGGGTACTGCTCCCGCAGGACACGAGGAGGCTGCGGGTCACGTGGGGCACATCACGTGTGGCACCATCATGTAGCAGTTACTTCTTTTCCTTGCAAAACCTCCCAATGACCAAACAGTCCTTCACTTTATACTAAATGGAGTGCTGAAGAAAGAGAGTACTAATTTACTGATACAGCAGGATATGGGCTTACTTTAAAACAAATAATTTCTATTATATGAAATGTAGATTATGTCTATCTATCCACATATATGAAATCCATAAAATTTCCTATGCACACTTTAATTCCTTCCTGATAGATCTCAAATCTAACATAGCGTCAAGGTTTAAGCATGAATTAAAATATCATTGTTTGGTATTAAACTGTATGATATTTTTAGTCTTTGCATTCTGCCAAAGGCCATTCTAATCAGGTTGACATAAACTAATAAAATACTTCATGATGGACTTCACCAAAACACAAAGAATTTAAAGATCTAAAAAAATATACAAAGAAAAATAAGTATGGCAAAAATCAACTATTTTACCAGTCTGGCCTTTTTCTTTATTTAAATTTTCTGAATTCTATTTATTATACTTTTGTTTTACAGGCAATGACTACTTGAACAGGGACATTTTGCAATTTTAATGGGTTAAAAGAAATATTAGTCCCATTAATATTTAATTAAACACTAGACTATTTTGATGTATCCAGCTGCTCTGTGTGGATCTACACCATGAACTCAAAGCAGAAAGTATACCAGTTCCTATCTTTCTGTTTATTTATGTTCCTTCTACGTTATTTTGGTAACTGAATTTTATTTTTATGATGTGGGGTCAGATTACAATTGTTTTGGTTAAATGTGTATTATGATACTACATGCAGTGTTTTGCATGTCATATAGTGAAGCAATCTGATTTATTTTCAACACAAGTATGATAAGCGTAATGTAATTTTTCTAAACTAACCAGATGTACAATATGTAAATAGAAATGGCTTATTTGCCTTAAATGATATAATTTTACCACAACAATAAGTTAATATATTGCACTTCAAAATGCAGTGTGCACAGATAATATATTATCGGATTTTTTAGTAGGCATCTAGTTTACTTTTGATTCTTTATGGTTGCTGTTTTTTGTGGTTTTGCTTTTTTTTTCTTTTTTTCCTGACCAAGGTCTAACAAACAGCAATCATAGATTTCTAAATCTTCTATTGAACATTTTCTCATAAAGGCATGGGAAATGTGAAACACAGACTGCTCCAAGTCTGCATCATTAGGCCAGCTGGGATCTCAGCTTATCTGCAATCTCTTGGGTGTAGAATTTATCTTCATAAAGTCTGATTGCTAGCAGGATCAGGTACAGCTTGTCTTAATCGCATGACCTGTTGCTGCAGGTGGGAGGGTTCAAGCGAGTAAGGCAAGTGTGATTTCTCCTCAAAGTGAACAGGAAAATTAGATAAAACATATCAGCTGCCATATATATATATATGCTTGTACAGGTGTGTGTGTTTCTCTTTTAAATTTCTTCAGTCTAGGAAAGACACTGACTTTGGTTTTGTGTGGGTATTTCTAATTAGCAGCTCCACTTCAAGATACTAGTTTTCAAGACTAAAGATGCCAATGTCTGCACGTACTTTTGTATTTAAAATAGTACAACAATGATAGGAAGTAGCATCAATATTGTACACTACCTAGAATTCTGCTCTTTCCGTAATAGAAAATGCCTTGAAAAATGCAAGGGAAGGGAAATATAATGCTTTCATCTATAGAAGAATATTTTAGAGATTTCTTTTTTTTTTTTTTTTTTTTTTTTTTTTTTTTTTTTTTTTTTTTTTTTTTTTTTTTTTTTTTTTTTTTTTTTTTTTTTTTTTTTTTTTGCATTCTTGAAGGATATACATTCGTCTTGGTTTTTGCTTCCAAATATAATTTAAGGCTATTTGGTAAAATATACACCAGATATCAGGCTCAATTTACAGGGGTTTCTTCTCACAGAAACTTCTCAAAACTTCGTCTCTAAAGATTCATATCTTGAAGCCAAGCATGCTTTATCTGCTGTGCTCCAAAGACAGAAGTCATGCTTAATAACAATCACTGTAGGAAAAAGAGAAGGAAAAAGAAAAAAGCAAACAAAAGAAAACAGATTTGAAGCAATGTCAGATCTGCATAACCTACAATACTTCATGTTTTCAGTCATCCATCAGGCTGCGGGGTGTGTGGGATTTGTATTTAAAGTGCTCATCAGGTGAAGAACCAAAGTGCTTAAGTATAATTAAATAGTTGTTCTGCCTATGGCTAAACGCATTGCATTTGTTAAAGCAGGTAAACAGGGAATGCGGTAGCTGGGGCTGTTTGTCTCACTGGGTTCACACTGTTTTGACCTAAAGTTGTGTTCAGTAGGATTCAAACCTTGGAACTGGGGGCTGCAGGTTTCTCATCTTATTGCGTCTTCACCTGAAGACTTCTAAGTGCTGGATCGCTCAGTTGGCTCTGGAAGGTAGGTGAAGTGGAATAATTCTGTCTTAATTTGTTTTAAATTAAAGCCTCTTGACTGTGGAAGTTGCCACTTCTCTCCTGATAATGTGAGGCTTCAAAAGATATTATTTTCCTTATATTCCATGGCTGGAACTCACTTATCTCTTGAGTCATGTTTTTTTTTTTTTTTTCTATGTCTGAAGCAAGCAAGAAGTTTATTCTTGCCATAAATGATACTGCATAGAAAAATAGTTCTAAAAAAAATACAACTGTAGACCACAGTTCACCTTTACCTAAACATAACCATTTAAACTTATATATACTTACCACTCACATTCATATTTCTTAAACTGTTTACAACATCACAACTGGCATTTTAAACAAGCAAGATTTTTTGTTCTCAAGGATACCCTGGAAACTCAATTGTTATAACAATTTGAGAGTTTTAAATAGTACATGTAGCACGGCTCTTGAAATGAAAGAAAGAAGGTTTATAAAATAAATGTTAACATGTAAAAGAACTGTTAAAAATGCAATGAGTGTTCCAAAGGAGCAAGTAAAACTTTTTCTTTACACATCTTACTACAGAAGATCTAACTTTTTAAGGCTTCCATTTTCTTTCACCCATCACTCAAGTCCTCTTGCATTACAAATTTGCTTAGGTTTCAGAGTGTTGTTATGCTGCTAACAGCAAATGTTTCTTAGTGGACATTCCCACCACGACCAGACTTGTATGCTTCTTGGTTTCTGATGAACTTTGGAGTTTTAGTGGCTGAGTATCCCTGTTCATCTCCAGAAACTTGACATGAGATAAGAGGCCTAATGTTATTTTGCAGTAACAAAGATGAAAAGAGTGGCAGAGCACATGGGTAAATATGTTAGCTGGGTTCTAGGAAAAGAAACTGGAGGTCAAAGAGATAAATGGGTTCTTTCTTTCCTGCTCTTTACATTTGTAGCACCTTCTACTTGGATTAGCTAATGCCTCTAGTGAATGGTGAGATGCACCCATTTATAGTTTGTTATTCTTATCCCTAATTATCACACATTTTATAAAAATATAAATAACAAAAAAGTAAGCTGGGTTCCATCTCAAGAGGTGTTTCTTGTTGTCCTCTGAGAATATATTGGATAAGTCAGGTCTTGACAAGCCCTATCCATTGTAGCTGATTGTAAGTCAGACAATACAAAAGAAGTCATTCTTGCGGTGAGCTCAGCAAATTCTGAGGAAATCAAAAGCATTCCACTGTGCTTATGGCACAAAGAACACAACAGCAAGGGCATATTGAGTGGAGAGAATGAGACAAAAATTACCAGGTAAGTGACAAACTGTACAAGCATTTTGTTTAAAAAAGGAACTCTGCAGCATTCTGTCTTTAAAGCCGGGTTTGAGCCTCTGGGATATAGATCTCGATGCTGTCTGCACGTTCTGTGGCTGAATTCTGCCGGAAAGAGGCTGCTCGCTTGGCAGCCATCAGCCGTCTCCGAGCTTCTTGTCGCTGTCTGTCGGGTAGGTCCAGAGATTTTTCTCTTGTGATAGGGAATTTTCCTTTTGGGGGCTTCTTTGGTACAGGAGGAGGAATCTTTCTTTCTTCCTGCAATAGGGCATTAAAACCAAGGGTGAGCTGCGTGCAGAAGGTACTTTTCAGCAGAGCATGCACATCGAAGACATGAAATGCAAAATACTGATTACATACATCAAGCATGCTCAATTTCTGCTTGCCCATCAGCTGACTAATGGATTACATGAACAGCTATCCCCACTAGGGACATTGACAAAACCCCTTTTGACAACCATTACACATTCTGCGGTCCTGTGCCTGAAAAAAGGACTGCTCTTCCTTCTACTGTCCTTGCAGGTATCGGCACATGCAATCTGCATACCTCACTTTCATATGGATTTGTTTAATTTTAGCTGACACATTATTACACTCATTATAAACAGAAACACACACTGGCTCTCCAATAAGAATTCAGCGCATCTGTGTGGTCTGATCAAGTGAAAAGACTCTCTAAGATTAGCAGGACAGGATTTTAGATGAAATTAATCATACTGAGTTTAGCCTCAGCTGGATATGAGATAGCAGCTGTGTATACATGTCTATTAGTTTAGTCTCCTCCAAGAATTGCTAAATGGAAACATTCAAGCGCTAACCAGAGAGAGAACATAGGGCTAATTATTCTGCTTGTCAGCCTGGACCATTTTAAAGAAAATTATTCTGAAGAATTATCAAATTATAAAGTGAAAGTTAGTAGATTTTGTTACGAAAGTATCTGTAAATCTCTCTGCAGGTGTTAAATCAAGTATTGTTTTGAAGTATGAAATGGATATTTTACTCCATTTAGAGACTGTGAAATATCATATGATGAGGGCCTTAAAAAGACACTGCAGAATCAAGGAATTGTACAGTAGTTTAGATTAGAAGCGATGGACGTCTGGAGGTGATTTCATACAATCCTCATTCAAAGCCCATTTGAAATTAGACACAATGTTGAAGTTAAACCAGGTTTCTAATGTCATGTTTAATACTGGACTACATAGCCCCAAAGATGGAGACTCCACAACTTCCCATGTTTATTTATGGTTATTTGGATTGATCTTTTTGCTATATTATTTCTTAAAGTAATGGTAATCGTACAGAGTATGGGCTGTTCTTTATGGAGAACACAGTTAATTCGATGCACAGCAGGATTCAAATAATACAAAAATTGAACTGATACACCTATGGTTTACAGACTCTTCATTGTTTGGTCTTTAAAAAAAAAAAATTCTGAGTCTACTACCAAAATGCAATAGCCAAGACTAAATAACTAAGGTTATTTAAAAACATAGTTCTATATTCAACAGGAACAGTGCAGCAGCCTAAGATGCTATTCCCCATGACAGCCAGCTCTTCCAGTCTTTATTTTCTCTATTTCCTGTTTTCTGCCAGGAACACAAGGGCTCCATTCCTCTTGTTCCATCTTTTGTTTTTTTCCACTTTTAGTTATTTCCCTCTTAGGAACATCACTGTTGCTGTCACTACAATAATTTCTTACTTCCAGTTGTCACTAGTAAGCAAGAGTTGCAAACTCACCATCCACCAACCCGTTGGCTGAAAATTAAAATCCAAGAGGAGCATGAAGAAATGAAAAAGTTGTCAAAATGCCTCCTAATTCCTCCCAAACCAAACAAGTATTCACCTGAGGCCAACAGTACTGACTCAAACCAAATGCTGTTTTCATCTGACTGATACAATAATCAGCAAGGATAGCAAGATAATTAGGGTAAGGGACAGAGCTCTAGAGAGGGGAAAGGCAGTTTCAAAATTACATTGCTTTAATGGGCAATTTGCCACCTTTGTTTTGTAAGCATCATGGTGGAGTTGCAGGGCAGAAATGTGGGCAGTTTGCCAGTAACACTCTTTGTCCCCCAGATTTGTGTGGGCTGAGCTTTAGTATGACTTGCACTATGTTTTGTCATATGCTTCCATCTCATTTCTGGTTTACTATCAGTTGTGTCGTGCAGGCAGGGTTAAACACTGAAGTGCTCAGGTTTGGGCTGCCCCAAATGTAGCAGAGTGCCAAATTTACTTTGTTTGAATTCTTGGGCTATTGTCTTCAGTCTGAATTAATAAGAGCATATGTCAGTTTTAGCCTTTAGAATGTGAATAGAAATAATTTGAACAAAAGTGTTATGGAGTGAACTAACTTAGCAAACCCCATTTTATTTCTTAAACAGTTAAGATCAACATTGTTTAAAAGACAAACCCCCTCACATCTGATGGAAGTTTCCATGTAAAAATTGGGCCATGCCAATTAAATACTTCCAGGGTTAGAAGCCTATCATGTTTCATTATTGTATTTAACACAAGGAGACTGCAGGACTACAAATGGGGAGTAAATGGTATTGTCCGTGGTCTGCTTACCTTCCTTTCAGGTGATTCTATTATTTTCCATTCATTTAGTTTCAACTGGTGCAGTTCATCAAACTTCATGCTGACGTCTTCAATGGAGAGCTGCAGTAAGTCCCAGAAACCTGCTAGATCCTGGGAAGTTGGTCTCGGCATGGCACTCGGGTCCTGTCAGGAGCAAAGGAGAGAATATGAATAGACCAGGAGGCTTTACAGATTGTGCATTGAGGCAGGAAAGGCATCGTGCCAGATTACATTTCTGCAGAGCTGCTCAGTGCTAAGGCCCTTCGCGCTTTACAGCTGGAAGCTGTGACTGGAAAGTTGTGCCTCCTACACAACCCAAACATGAATGAGCTGGATGTCACATGTGAGCCTGCTTGAATTTGCGGCATGGGAAGTTCCTTACACCATATGCTGTGCTGACCTGCATTTCTAAAAAGGAACAAGCTGACAGCCTCTGCCTGCTGATTATTAAAGGGAAGGGGAACGTGGGTTTTATTCCAGACAGCCTGAAGTCTTTCTGTTTAAAAATTGCATTCACGATAGCTGATTAGAAGACAAAACAATATCACAAAGACTTGTCAGCTTATGCTGAACTCAGTGTTTACATTGGCTTGCATTTTCAAATGTATACATGAAGTATGAAATTTTGATGGGGATTGTAGGATTTTGTTCTCTAGGGAGCTGAATCACACAAAGGAACTGGGAAGGCATTAGCACCAGGTACTGCAATTAATTGGCTCTACGTGCACAAGACTTAATGGAGCAAACATTGTTCGTAACAATTAGCAAGATGACCCTCTATTTGATTATTAACCTGCTGCCAGTGCTGGATAAAAATTGCAATACAACATTGTATGCAGACTTTTAGCCCTATGCTTTCTGAGCATTGGTACTAGTTCAGGAAGATAGCTTTCTCAGTTTAATGAGACAGGGTTTAATTGGTAAATATGTCTGTGAAGGTAGAGGAGAGATGTCTTTTCCTTCCAGATTAGGCAGAAGCCATTAAGATGGCTGGGAGAGATGGAATCAAAACCAGGCCAAAGGGACTCTGGATCTCCCCAGTCCTAGGCAAAAGTTGTAATGACTAGTTTACTGTGTTAGCATCACTGCTGTAACTGCTGATGCAAGGCACTGTGCCCCACCTTTTACAAATCTAGTGGAGAAAGGCATTTTAGATATTAAATACAATATGTATACCCATACCCAGACCCCTTTTAGAATCTGAGCAAAGAACAACTTAGAAGTCTTCTTCTCTAGAAGAAAGTCTCCTTTTCATAGGGAGCTCCAGGGATTTAACAGAACTGGCCATAAAGATTATACCAGACTTCTGGGAAAGGTTGCAACTCCAGATTAGTGTTTACTGAAAACTACTTCATTGAGTAGATCCCAATTTACTACAAAACGATTTAAAATTTATATCAGTAGTGTTAGTTACTCCACAGAGGTCAATATTTCAGGCTTTAGGACCCAACTCTTTGTGTGAAATTTGTCAGGATGGTCCCACAGCTGTATATCTTATCTTGCAATTTGTTCCCTCCAGCCTGGTCTTCTCAGTTACTCTCCCCAGTTTGCTCTAAACAGCCAGAAAATGATGCCACCCATTGCAAGGCCACTGCCTCCTGAATCAAAGCTAATTGCTCTTCTGTACCTTTGTGCTCCCCACTCTGCTCATGGTATTTGTTAAGACCATGGCCTCCAGCACGGCCCTCGCACAGAGCTGTGCCATGTGTGCTCTGGACACAAGAGGGCTGCCTTCTGCTTCATACAGATCTGCAGTTCGCAAATAAATGCTGGCACAAATGAATACTATTACAGCTAACTAAGTTTTGAAAAGATTGGCTTAAACTTGCTTCTTCTCAGAAGCTGCTCATTTATTTGTATTGTACTTGGAATTCAGCTTTGCAGCCCTCCTGAAGGAAGCCTAGAGCAAGCAACAAGTACCTACCTAGCTGCTGCTCGAGCTGCTCTGTTTTTGTCCGCAACTATGACATATTGAGCAATGATCTCACCAGCTGAGCAGGATCTGTGCTGACTAGAGACTATGCAGGAGGACACTTCAAGGTAAAAAAAACGAGGGTTACAAGAACTAATGTGAATAATCTAGAAGGGAGAAGTTATTAGTGGGTAATAGGCTTTTTCCAAGTAGTTAGGATGCACGTAGCAGATAGCCAGTCAGATTTGTAAAAAAAACTTCATCAAAACTTATGTTTTTGTAAATTTAACTTAAATTAAGGCCTTTGATAAGAGGTCTTAACCCAGAGTGTAATCAAATGTGCCTTTTGAAGTTCCCAGGACTCTTTAGAAAAGTCCATAGGAGATGGGTGAGCTTCCTGGTTAAATTTCACTTTGAGTAAGTGTATTTCTCTTCTTAAACTCTTGCTGCCTTTTGAATTGGCAGAATTAAAAGCTGTTGTTCTTTGTCCTACATTTATGCTTAGAGATGCTGAACACTGTCAATGAAACCGCCGTGTGGCAGCCCTGTGCGTGTTGGATGTTTTCAAGAAGAGGAACACACAAGCTGGCAGCATTCCCATGGGGCACTGAGATGCTGCCTTAAGAGCATATGGAAAGCCTGCTGTGGGTATACACTAAGTGACTATTTAGCAATAAACTCTATCATTAGGCATAGGGAGAAAAACCTCCAAACATGAATGACCTAAAGTCCAGACTTGCAGTTGCTGTTTTCTGCAGAGCCCATTACTGGTTTAATGAAACTGAAGAATATTCAGAGTCTAAATCTCCAGAGTGGGATAAAGCTGCTGTTATGGAGTTCAAAGGTTTATTATCCAAATAAGAAAGAGAGAAGTAAAATCTTGCCAGCTTTCTGGTCATGCTGTCTGCAAAGCTGTAGATTTCTCCTTGTGCTCCTATTGCTTTTGCAGTAATGAATTGTTCTCACTTCCAAATAGCTGACAGCCGTGCTGAGCAGGAATTGCATTTGCTATCACAGTAATGCTCTCGGCACAAGAGCTGGGCCCACTTGAAGATAAATGAAGTGGAGTGGAGGTTAGGCTCTCCAAATCTTAGTTTGCATAGCTTAATCAGGTAATGGAGGGCATTTTTAAATTTGCAGTGAGAAACTTTTGGACAATGATGAAGATTTCCTACTTTTTATATGAAACAAATTACTAGATAGAGAACACACATGATGTATTTGATAATACAGACATGATCATCTGCTTGCCTGACTTTGTATGTTTCCTCTGTCATTCTGTAGCAACTATTAAAATTCTTGTTTTGACAGAGTCTTTGAAGTGGATAATTGGATCCTTTCCTAATGAGGACCATGTATCTTATTATTTTCTATCAGAAGGTATGACTTTTTGGCACAACTTTCTCAGTAATATTTGATTTCTGTTTCAGGAATTCTGAATGTTTAACTTTATGGATGGAAAGTAGCAAATAGGTCTCTGCAGAATGGATGTTCTGCCATAAAAGTTCTGTGGCAAATGCCAACAAGCAAAGAAAAGCATCTAACCAGATGTATAGGTCTTGTCTGCTGTCATGAGTGCAACAGAATTCAGCACTTTCAATATATGAGGTGTGGGGATAGTCAGAAGGAGAAAGTTACACTTGATATTTGAGAGAATCAATGAAAGGTTTTCTACCAACAACTGTAGCTAGAAGAATTACATTCTTCTATGGATAAGTATCATCTTGCCACAATGTTTGTATCACTGATGGCTGCTGTCATATTAATGAAGATAACATTTAGAATTGAATTAGTCTCTAATGAACTTCCAGAACAATAGCAGTAACTCTCATAAGTAATATACTGCATCTGTTCCTTTAGCCCCAGGATATCTTATATATAATTGGGAATGCAAATTATGCAACTCAGTTTTATGAGCATTATGTATATCTCATTTCCAAGATCAGTCCTGTTTTCAGGTAGGTAGAAAGCTGGATCATGTATTCTCCACTATTCTATTTTACTATTCTCCACTTACTGTAATGTGTAAATTTTCTCCTTTCTTTCCTGAAATATAGTTGCTATATTAGGGTATTACAAAAATAAGCCATAATATTATGTCTCAAAAAACTTGCATTAGTTCCCTCTTAATTTTCTTTTTTGATTTTAATAAAGACAGAAAAGACAAAACATAATCAGACTGAAACTACTCGAATTACGTATTTGCTTAAAAAAAAATGTACTAGCACCATACTTAAGGATAAAGTTTAAAGAAGGAGAGCAATAAGACAAAATGTGGGACATGAAAATAACATTTCAGAATGCTACTGTTGTTGTTTTTTAAGTAAAAATATTAAATTATAAAGTTCTGTGGACAGATAACCTTAAACTCTGTAAGAATAGCCGGGTATAGTGACTTACCAGATTTTGCTGACAAAGCCAATAAAATTGCTGGAATTTCTGAGACATGAGGAGCTGAGCACTTCCAACAGCACTTCGGATCTTACCTAGAACTAAACACACACAGAGATTATTACCAATAAATGGGTTTTGGCACTAAATGCCAAATCCAGCTCAAAAATATGTAGCTGAAATTCCTGTTTATTTTATAAGGGAAGTAAATATTCGGGTTTGTTGCTTGTGATTATACAGATAAAATATTTTTTTAAAAGACTGAGTTGTAAGAAAGCTCAGTGGTAACTTGATGTCAAAGGGAGCTTTACATGTACCTTACATAATATCCTCTGGTTCTGCAATCACAAATTATTTCACTCAGTTGTGTGGATGATCCCTGGGGGAACTCTCTTTATCCTGTGTGTTCTGAGGGTAAGGTTAATATGTTAAACTGTAATATAACATTCTCCTACCATAAGGATGAGATCCTCAGAGGAATTACATCTCTGAGACATGTCTTGTTACACCCATTAGGAGTTACAGGTTGTCTTCCAAGGAACATATACAATGTTCTCAGTGCAGGAGCTTCAGAAAAAGTAGGACACAAGCAGATGCTCCAGGACTTTGCTGAATCAGGATCAGCCCCCATGGATATGTTGGTATTTCCCCACTGTCCATTTACAGTGTGCATAAGCACTGGGGAAAGGGACCAAACTCATTTTAATTGACTTTGTTTCCAAGAGTCATCTGTCTAAATTAAAACTTCTGAATGCTCTATAATCAGTGATCCGAGCCTGTCAGCTCAGCCATGTTAGGCACTTATTTTTAGATGAGCTGAATTTCTTCCTGGAGATGCCTCTGTCTTTCTATTGACTATAGTGCCTAGGGGAATGGCTTATCTAAATCCTCCTGACTCCCACAGTTGCTGGGATATATGCCATACTTTGGTAGGTAGCACTATGCTTTCCTACACCTCCTTTCTACATATCCTTTCCTACACTTCCTTTCCTCCACATCCGTCTCTGTGATGAAAATGCAACACTTTAAAAAGCATTATAAACTGTGGTCTCAATGGAAAATTGATTTTAGCTGGAGAATTTCCAGATCTTTTTATAATGTTAAAGATATAGAGATGTGAACTAAGGGTAGACAGCATTACTTTGACGTATTTTACTTACATTTGGGGAAACCAAACTGATAATTCAAACAGGATGGAGAGGGTGGAATAAAGCTACAATGGTACAGCAGAACTGATCTGCAGCCCACAATATAGGAAACATTAAACTCCATCAGGGCTTAACATTTTGTTGTTATTTAGAATAAGTACAGGATGACACGTGAAACCAGGATCTTGGTAGTAGGTTTTCATTTTAATTCTGCTTTCTCTAGACCAGTGAAACATCTTGCTACATCATACTACTTGCTACAAGTAGAAGCAAGAGACAATTTGAAAGTTTTGGGCTCCAGTTACAAACTCAGTAACTTTCGAAGCATGTGTTAATGTGTAGAGCTGTTGTTCTCAAACTCTATTCCATTATTTGTTAGATAAACAGTACAGCTGTGCCACAAGACTAAATTAAACAGCAATATACATAATTCATCAGCCCTGTGTGACATGCATTATGAAAGGGTTAAGTGGTTCAGGACTTTATGAGTAATTCACTGGGGTTTGTGGGTTTTTCGTTGGCCAAATGAAATAAAGCATTTTAATTGGTTTGGGGTTTTTTTTGATCACCAAATCCCTCACTTTTCTCTACATCATTATTGGCATACAGAAAAAATGTTTTGAGTGTTAAAACCTGGACAAACATACAAAAAACTAACTAAAAAAAAAAATGTTTCATTTAATCTGAAACAAATTGCTTTAATTTGGTTTCCAGCATTTTTAATAAAGGTGATGAGTTCTGTGACAAACACCCTTGTATCCTCCCTTTTTCTCTTAGTGCTCTGTAACTCAGGACATTAGACAAACTCCCAGTGTGGGCTCAGAGTTCATTCTTTTCCAGGATGAGGAATTGTGCTATAGCAGGTCCCTGACATCATGTATTTCATGCTATATTTTCAACTATTCACTGGGCAGAAAGAAAGTGAGATGATTCCATAGGCTGATGGTTGTTGTGCTTATCTCATAGTGAATATAGTTCAGTTTTAGATTCCTCTGCTGAATTTTATTGTTCATAGTTCAAACAGCTATGAACTACACTCACATAGCCTAAGAGGCATTGGTTGTAGACCTAATGTACAAAATAGATCCTGACAAAACCTATATATGTCTGATATTTTCTAGTGAATCTCAAAGTTACCCCAAGCCCCATATTAAATAAGCATTTATTTTATCTTCGTTACCCCAAAGGATCATGTCAACAAGCATTAGTGATTTATAGCCCAGTGCAGAATTTTTGTGTGATATAAATCTGTCAGGGATGTAAGACTGGGCTAGTTGCATGTGTCACTGAGTCACAGTGCTGAATGCACATGTATAATTACAGTCCTAGCATTTACTAAAGATCTAACTCTATTTCCATTTTAATAAGTAAATCAGACATAATAAAACATAGAGGTTAGAATCCCTCATATTCATGCTACTCTACTTTGCTGTAATTAAATTAAAGTATTAAAACACTTCAACTCATAATCTTTAGCACAATATTAATAGACATCCAAAACCTTGTTATTAATTTCATGCATTGGGGAATTATTTTGATGAGTGCAGATTGATTATCTCCATGAAAGAATGATGAATGCTAGAGACTGGAGAGATTGAGATGTTTGGTGGTGCCTAGAAGATTTTTCTTGTAAATAAATAATGATAAAATCTACCAATGCACACAAATAGATATAATTTTCATATAATCCATATACCTTCCACCATTAAGATAATATTACATTTGCCCAAATGTCAGGAAAGAGTCACGCAACCTTCGTTCTGCTCCCTGATGTGTATGAAGCATTCCATTTCTGTTGTGTGGTCCTGTTTGACTTCTGCTCTGAACATATACAGAACACTGACTGTGACTTCAATAAAACCAGACTCAGGATTTACATCTAGGTTAGAGATTGTGTGAATTGCACAATTAACACAATGGTGTCTTTTCCCCTGAAGTAATCATGTTAAAAAATTGCTAGTAATATATATGTGTGGAATTGCTTGAGAAATTCTACAAAATCTTGTAATCAAAAACTATTTCATATCACAAAGGTAAAGGGAGTAGAGGTCTGTATTGATGAAACCGATTAAAATCTGATTCTGTAACTCTGCTTTTGACAGGTTAAAAGCTTTGTATAATTGTGCCACTGCTATACTGGCAGTGAGAAACTAGCAACAATCAATCTACTTCTGGCATTCATTACTGTTTATTTAAATGATGTGTTTTAATTTAAATTTTCATTCCATTTGATCATTCAATTTTTCCCCCTCTACTTGTAAATAAATTGCTCCACAAACAATCTGAAAAATATGCCTGAAAAAAAAATGAAACTGGCAGTTAGTTCATCATCCTAACTCAAAGTAAGGCACGACATTTGTCTAATCTTTAAACTTAAATTAGTAATCTTTAGAAATGTCTTTTTCACTATCAACAGAGCATGTCAGCAAAAAAATAAATGTATAATGTTCAGATGCCATTTTAGGACAACACAGCCTCCAGCTGGCAGTGCTCTGGAGGTTAGTTAGGACAATGAAATCCTTGCGCACCAAGTGGGACTTGCTGCAAATTTGCTTAATAAAGCTGAGTTCACAGAGGAGAAAATTTCAGCAGAACAATAGAAATGATAGAACGAATTATTGTATTCTACCTTATAGGACTTTACAGACTGTTTCAGGGCAATTAAGACATTCTTTAGTCATTCACAACACTGCAAATGTAAATTTCAGCAGTTCCTGAAGGATAAGTTTGTGAAAAGCATTAGAGAATTATGTCAGTAATTTCTCTTTGGCTAAAGGATAACCCATATTTGGTCAAACACCTAAGAAAGCTTTTGTGGATAATTAATTGATGAATATACTAAAATAAATTGATTGTGAGGGTTTTTTTGTTGGTTTTCATTTCCCCCTCCCCTCCCCCTCCCTACCCCCAAATTATGAGAGATTTAACTGTGTTTTCTTTTACTATTCAGCCCTTTTAGTAAAGCCCTCGCAATACTGTGGAAATATCAGCCACAGGATTAGCAAGGAAGAATCCAGTGCCCATCCATGGAATGAAGGCAAAGGGGGAAGAGAAGGGTGATACTTCGAGCTCTCACTCTCTCACTCTTTTTTCCCACTTTAGTATGTAGCTATGCCAGCAGACCTCCTAACCATAGAGCAGAAGATACCAGCATAGTCTATACTGCTGTTAATTTTTGCACCTATCTCAGTGTTTTTATGTAGGAGTAAACTCTGTGCAGCTGTTCTCCATAATGAAGTATTTCAGAGGTCAATCATGGGGCACTAAGAAGCCCAGGAATTCATCTTCCCTCTACCAGACCTTGCCCACGAGCTGTGGGCAAGGACTGTGGCTCCCCTAGCTGGCCTGCTCTCCCCCTCCCTGAGCTGCTCTCCCTGCTGCCATCACAGTGCTCACCGGAGGCAGAGTCCTGACCCTCTTGGTCTTCAATAGCTTTGTGACAGTTGAGAGTGTTTTTCTTGTCATCACCTACACACCAGTAATAGCCAAACACAATTTTCAGGGTGTAAAACTGCAACTCCAGTCAGCACGCATGAGAAACACATATAATTGCTTGGAGGCACCCTGCTAATGCAAATGATCTGATGACTAACCCTGGGAACAGTTACAGCCACATATCTATCTATATTTATCTATACCTCTATATCTACCTCTGTATCTCTATCTATCTATCTATCTATCTATCTATCTATCTATCTATCTATCTATCTATCTATCTATGTTATATTTAACACTTAGAACACAAATAACTGCCCCCACAAACAATATATGAACTTTGCAGAGACTTCAAAATGTAATTCATGGCAACTGACCAAACAAAAAAATTCTATGAAAACAAAGAGAGAGATGTTATTTTTGCTGCAGTGATTATCTTCTTTCTAAGACCTGATGAGTGAAGTTCTTAAAACAGCACTCTGGGACAAAAGCTACAGTGAAAGAAAAAAATCAATACAGCAATCAGACAGCTTTTGGTGATCTCGGAGATATTGTGTTAAAGCCAGAAATGAAATTTTTTTCTAAAATGTAGTTCTATTTTAACTCTTCCCATGTTTAAAATGAAATAGAAGTGGTATCATAAGGACAGCCGTCTCCCAAGAGATGCAAAGCTGTATTTGGCCTTCAGGTACAATTAATATACCCAGGCCAAAAAGAAATGATTCAGCATTAAGAATGGCAGTTTGAATGTGCAAACTTTGCTATGAAGTGTTTTGGGAATAATAGCTCCTGCTGGAAGATGGAAAACCATATTTATTTGCTTTTGGCTTGGCCATTTTTGTGTATTTTCTTCAAGGAACTGACAAACATTTAAATATGTCAAGATCCATTTCATGCTGGGATATCATTAAACTTAAGTTCTGGTGGATAAATACCTTACAAGCTCCGTAGCTCAAACTGGGGATACAAAATATAATAAAGAATCGACAGAAAAAAAAATTATTCACACTGATTTTTTAAAATGCTGCGAAGCTCATTCTCTTGGTGAAATTAATTCTTTGAAAACTTCTTCTTACTTGATCTAAGCATTGCTAGGTGAAAGGATACTATTTCAAAGATAATGTAATTTGAAAATTATTCCAGGAAGGTCTCTTGAAATGAGTCACATAAAATGGAAAATTGGAACTTTGGGGTTTACTTTTGACAATCAGCTGAACAATCCAGTTCTGGATACGCTACATAGACCTATTCTATAATAACTTCTTTAATCTATTAGGGAAGCCAAAATGTTCCCCCAAACATAAGTAATTAACCCATTTTTATTCGTTTGACAAAGGAATTTCAAAGGTCCATTTCAGTTGTGTTTTATAAAATCTGTATCAGGGAATTGCTCTCTTTTTTTTCCCCTCTTTTTTCCTCTTACAGGTTAGAGTTACTCTACAGATGGGGAAACAAAATTCTGATATTATATTTTGCTTTCTGACTGAAATATTCCACGTTAAAAGGGTGTCACTAACTCCAAATATTAATATTAATTACTGAAGTCCATTTTGTCTTCATGTCCTTTGTACAATTTACAGAAAACTACTTCCCTGATTGCCATTTCACCATGCAACAAGGTATTTTAGAGTATTTCTGGAGTGCAAGAGTATAACTTCACATGGTGGGAAGCAGGGTGGTTCTGCACCTGAGAACAGGTAGTCAGCTAAAGCCAGCTCCTCCAGGTTTTTCTCATGGAGTACACAGTTTCATATTCCAAGGAATAACACTGCTAACTGCCTCTCTGTTTCTCCCAGCAAGGAATACTGACGTGAGTGTTTTCCCACTGTTCATTTCATGTGGCTGCAGATGTGACTAGGGCTGTGCACAAGGAAGAGCTTGCAGAGAGAGGAGATAGGAGAAGTCCAGCCCTTGCCTGCAAATGCCTCATTGGCATCCTAGGAAAAGAGAGGGGCTAACTGCCTGTGTGTTTCTCTCCTTTGCACTCCAAATAATTTTACTCTTTCCAAAGGGATCAAAGTCTTGCTCTTTGAACTTCTGCTTCAGATCAAAAGCACTGATGCCCCTACATCAGTAACAGGTAATCTGGGAAGCAGGAGCTTAGGCATTCTTACAATATGACATTGAAATGTTAGTATTCAGCAGTGCAAAAATTTGGAGAATTGAAAAATAAGACACGTGGTAAAATGTAGTGACAAATAACTGTTATGAAAGAAAGCTTGGAAATTTTCATATGAGCTAATCAAATAAAAATATTTTATTATTTATGCTTCGACAACCCCTAGGAGGCTATTGAAGTCTTCACAGTATCAGTGCAAGGGGGAAATTCTCAGCTCAGCTCTGCCATGATAAAATAAGAACAAAACCTACAGTCCAGAAAGCACCAGAGGCTGAATGAAGGAAAACCAGACTTACACACTCCTCCACCCTAAATCCTATGTTGTTACTTGGCAGATTTGGACACAATGTAGTGTAGAAATGTGACTGTTAAAAAAAAAAAAAAATAAAGGTGATGTAAAAACATAGACATTATTTATTTTGAAAAGGTCAGCACAAGAAATAAAATTTGGCCTTTTAGTCACCATGCTGGCCTGTCTCAAGACTTGGGGGTAGATCATAGCAAAAACTCATTGAGAGGGAAAGAAGATGACCAGGAAAAAGTACATGGAGGGAGTGCAGGGAAAGATGCTAGTAAGAAAACTTAATATGAACTAATTTGTGATCTGAGAAAATCTCAGCTGAGACAATAATTCAGATTGTCAGAGATTGAAATATTTATAAAACTGAGCCTGAAGAACAAGGATAATTGACCTCAAAGGGAGTCATAGGGAGTTGGCTACTGAGTGCTAGGACCACTTTGATATATTACTATAATTAGTGCTGGCTTGGATCTTGTTCCAAAATAGTCTACGTTATTTTTCACTTTAACCTATCACTCCTTTCAAGGGGTCTACAGGACATGAGAGAATAATAATGACAAAACTGTAATACAAAAATACAACTGAATTTTCTAATAATGCATGTGCCTGTGTGACTGCAGAAGTGCTTTAACTATTTTTCTTGCCTACTCCTTTCTGTTCTTCCAACAGGCTGAAGTGCCTGTAAAGGAATTTTTAAAATGACTGTTCATTATAAGAGTTAAAATTGCAGGTTTCAGGAAAAGGGTGAACCAATGTTCACATAGGACCACCCTGTGTGCTCTGGCAAAGGGTCAATCACTGGAGCCATACAAGTGAGTGGGAAGGATGTGTCAGAGTTGGAGCTGTGGATGGAGCCATTGCAGCATCTGAGCTGTATCTAATACCAGACTTCAATCCTGCATTTGACTCTAGAGATGGCTCCTTAAATACTTCCACAAAACCTTACTCTGGGAAATGCTGTCTTGTGTAGTCAGCTGCAGGATGTTGGTTCTGTGGCGAGGCTTTGGTCCTACAGTATGAGTAAGGAAAAACCACAGGTCCCAGCTTTATCCTAATATATTTCTTATTTTAGCAGACTTCTATAAAAAAAGTTCTTACTTTCTTCAGAAAGGTCATTTTCTTCTGCTTCTCTTTCCATTTCTTTGCACCATCCCTCCATTCTCTTAGTTTCAGTATGTAGTAACTTCATAAACCAAGATCCGTCCCGTCGACAAGGTGACATTCGACCAGCCTCTACTGTCTCAATGGCTGGCTCCAGCCAGGGTTCTGGTGGTGGAAGGTTTGTTGTGTCAACTGGGGTCCTATAATCTTCTCTGTAACTGAACAGTCCCTGTGTCCGTACAGTTCTCACTGCACTATACTGGGTGGGTGTACTGGGCTCTGAGTGCTGCTGGAATGATGAGCCAAACTGAAGTCCCTTGTCTTCCATGGTGATGTGTCCTGGAAAACCCTCCAGTTCCAGGTCAGCCTGGACAGCTGCTGTTACACTGTTTGAGCGCTTGAATCGTCCGTGCCTTGGTGAAGAGGGAAGAAAGAAGAGGGATTAAGACATAAAAATAACATATGTGATAATACAGAGGCATATCTCTGAAATAAGGCAGCGAATAGCAACAGAGAGGAAAAACAAAATGCACAGTGGCATCATTGATCTGAGCAAGGATACAAAGGAAAAAAATTCAAATTATCTCTGGAAGCAAATATTGATTTATTCTCATATTACAAAATAACATGTATCATTAGTAAATGAACCAGAAAAAACTAGCAGAACTAGAACTTCCTGATAGAAGTCTGTAAAGCACATATATAAAAAAATATTCAAAAGTTAAGAATTTTAATTAGATAAAAACTGAAAATCTGCTAATTTAGGACTTTTAAAAATCCTCCAATAAAATAAAAATAGTAGCAGCAAGTTTAAGACTGAGAGTTGGGCGTTTTTTTGGCTTATAGGGTTGATTTTCTACACCACATAATGACATTTTAGAAAAGCTTTGTGGGAAAAAGTTAGATAGAGAAGCAGGAATTATTTGTGAAATCTTTTCACATCTGAGCCTATTGCCTCAAATTACATCTAGCCAATGATAGCAAAAGGCAATTAGCAACCAGATACTGTCTGACAGCTGCCGTGAAATGAGATAATGGTCTCAGTCCAGCCCTTGACAAGCAGTGCCTGCCAGGGATAACCTGTGGGTTAGTAGATGGTCCTGCAGCTTTACAAAACTAGAGGACTTAACAAGTGTAAAAGCTGATTCTAATTTAGGAAAAAGGTACCATGGATTACACCCTAACTGGTATATCTCCTTGGGTGGACAAGGAAAGCCTGGATCAGCATGAGGTGCCCTACTGAAGGAAGACTGTTCCAATATATAGCTCCTTGTATTTGTTCTGCCAATAATGAAATTATATTAAGCTACTACTTCAATTTAATACTTTCACTTTCTTCCCTCCAATTAAAAACTGGAAATTTAGCCAAATATGAAGCAACTACTAAGTAATCTCTACAAATTTTACCAAATGACAAGCATATGTATAAATTTGGCTTTGTGAATTATTTAGGGGCAGTGCTTGTCAGATGCTTGTTATTAACTCTGTTTACAAATGTGTGTTGTGTTATAAAAGACTACAGATTTTTGCACATGCTTGAATTACCGTTTTTCATCTTCCACTTGTATTCCAACAGAGTGGTATTCCCGTAGGCCTCTGCTTTCAGTATCTGAATCAGTTGCTGTTTCCACCTAATTCAACACAAAAGATACATCTGGAGAGTGAGCATCGACAACTTAGCACTATTTCTTCACACACTCATTCAAGAATAATTATATATTTAATCTCTTACTGCTAAGAAACACCTAGCACAGTAAATTAAATGCAAACGGTATTCAGCCTAGTATCATTGCTTTGGTGCTCTGTCTTATTAAAGCTTTGCACAAGTACTTCTGTTCTGCTGTATAATTCCCTATTTCAAACGTAAGCAGATACAATTACACAGTTTGGTGGAATCAGGAAGTAAGCTTGGTCTGGAAGGGCTGTTCTTAGAATGAGGAATCCACAGGATAGCCCCTTTTTATATTATTATAAACCAATCTCATTATACGCCTTGATTTACAAAATAAAATAAAATCTCAAGTAGCCCCATAAGCTTGCAAGTGATAAAAAGAAATGGTGCAATGAAATTTTATTGACAACTGTATTGACAAATATAAAACCATTAAATGATATGAGGGATACAGCAGAATGCCCAGTCTCACCTTCCTTAATAACATAGTCCTGAAAATGCTATATCAAGCAAGTAATTTATGCAGTTTTTATAGTACTCCCATCTGAAATACACTTACCAAGATATATTCACAGTAGAGTTTTCTTCATGACGGAGACCACATTGCTTTTGCAAGTTTCTGTGGCATTTTATATAACACTCCCCACCACCACACCGCCCCCAAGTCTTTGACACAGACAGAGCGAGTGCTGCAGTATGGAAATTATACTGAATCAAGGGAGAGAGGCAGGATAAAAAAAACCCCAAAATCAACAGAACTGACTTTTCCTTTTGTATGATATTTTCATTGTTACATCAAAAAAATAATATCAGCAACCAGTTTTTCGATATGCACTCTCCATGTGTGGATTCACACAAGAAAACTTTTCCTCTTGCAGCAGTTACAGGCACCTCTGGAAAGAGCCTGATGGTCTTTCCAGCTGTCTCTCAGCCATATAGCCCCAATCCCACTAGGTTTCTGAAAGATTGCAGAGACAAAGAGGAAGGAGGATGGGAACTGAGTGGACATATGCACTATATTTCTTGAAGTCAGTTGCTGGTAACTTCTCTTGCCATCTTTAAGCAATAGCTCCATGTACATTCACATGGATGGGAATACCAGCAATTAGTACATGTTCATATCTACCTGTGTGTATGTCTTGGAGATGTTCATGAAAATAGCAACTGCAAGAACCCTCTAGTAAATGCTAATGGCACGCTTGAACTATACAGCGTAGCATCAGTCACAGGTTTGCCAAAATCTCTTGCTGTCAGTGTGGCACCTTCCAGGGAAAGACACATTTCCCAGCAATTCCATTTGTTCTGCATAAGGGCTAAGGGACAGCGCATGCTGACATCTGTTTCCACCTTGGCAGCTGCATGAAAGCTGGCTATATTCACTTGCATGGGCAGTGCACTGAGAGAACTAAAATATCAGATTTGATAAGAGTTTCCAGGACTTGGTGTTGTCAGAATAAAAAAAAAGATTCCTCTTGACGTTGGTAGTGAAAAAAAGCCTCAGTGACAGAGGTAGCAGCTTGGAGGAAAAAAAGCACGAACAACCAACCAAAAAAACAGGCAAGTGGGTTTCCTAGTTAAGATGAGTCTTGGCTGCAACACAACTGAAAACCTAAGCTGCTTGGAGGGTCACGGTCCCCTGCAAGAACATTGTTTTAAGTAGAACAGCCATAAGGTCCAGTTTCTTAGCACAAGAGGTATTTCTCAGGAAAGACAGCCTTATTTATAGCACAGAAGAGCCCAGAAGAGCCTTAGATAACAAGTTCAGGTCTAAGGAAGGAACTAGGAACTTCCTTATATGCTTTCAGTGATATGAGGAAAGCTGCCTAAAAAAAACATTCATTAGAGACAGATTGTTTTTCATTTCATGAATTAACTGGCCCAAGAATGAGATACTCATGTAGTCTGTTGAGGGCGAGCAGAGAGGCAAGTTACACTTGAAGCTTTGACTACTGTGGTGGGAGCTAAAATATACATGGACATGTTTTGAAGAGTGAAGTCAACTTATTCTCAAAGGGAGAGGGGATGACTGAGAGGGGACCTTATCAGTGTTTATCAGCATCTGAAGGGAGGATGTCAAAAGGATTAAGCCAGGCTCTTCTCAGGGATATCAAGCAATAGGAGAAGAGGCAATGGGAAAAAAACTTATGCCCTGGAAGTTGCACCTGAATATGAGGAAGAACTTCTTTCCTGTGTGGGTGACCACACACCGTAACAGACTGGCCAGAGAGGCTGTAGAGTCTCCCTCACTGGGGATACCCCAGGAACCATCTGGACGCAATCCTGTGCAGTGTGCTCTAGGACGACCCTGCCTGAGCAGGGAGGATGGATTAGATCACACACTGTGGTCCCTGCCAACCTGACCCATTCTGTGATTCTATGATAAGGTAGTGAATAAGAGCAGATAACACAAAATGCTTAGACTGTGGCTCTTGGGTGTGCCTATATGAGTGTACGAGAAAGATGATGTCTGAGGTGAGGAAACATTTTCTGGAGGAAGCCATCTGATGTTGAAATCATCTGGAGTAATCAGGAAGTTTAAACTGTTGCTAAGAGCTATGGGACTGGGGTTCATTCCCCAAAGCAACCAATCAGTCTAAGCTTAAATACATAATTTAGGAATATACTGAGTCTAAACTACAAAAAATAATGCCATGAAAAGGCAAGTCTTCAAAAAGGGATTTCATCTCCTGTAAATAAGAAGACTGGAAGATCTTGCTAATGTAGCAGCAACCATGGTCTTCCAAGCCATATTGGATGCACTGAGATACACTTGAGAAAAATCCAGGAGAGTTCTCTTGATCTCAGATAGAGTCACTGTCAAGCACTTACTGGAGGAGGAGAGTGGCAAAGGAGACAAATTTCTTTTTTATAGAGCAGAAAGGATTTGGCAATTTGGAAATTGACATTATAGGGATGCTTAAAATTCTGATCTCAAAATCAAGATTTCTTCCTATGCTCAGAAAATGCAGTGCTTATTAAAATAGATGACAGTGATACAGGAAATCTGATCTGTAATCTGCCTGGACGTGTGGAAAACACTTGATAATGTCTCACAAAACATCTTTGTATTTCAAGTAGAAGGACATGGATTTGATGGGCAGACTCACTGAATAAGAAATTGGGTGGATGCTTGCACTCAAAGGGTGCAGCTCAATGTCTATGTGGAGAACCTGGGTGTCTGGTGGAGACCACCATGTAAGAAGTGGTGGGTGTCCCTCAGGTGTCTGTACTGGGACTAGTATTATTTAACATCTTTGATGGTGATATGGACATTGGGATTGAGTGCACCCTAGGCAAGTTTGCTGATGACACCAAGTTGTTGGGTGCAGCTGACACACCAGAGGGCAGGAATGCCATCCAGGCGAACCTGCACAGGCTTGATAGGTGGGCTCATGCAAGCTCATGAGGTTCAACAAGGCTAAGGGCAATCCTGAACATGGATACAAGATCAATGAGTGGGTTGAGAGAGGCCCTGAGGAGAAGGACTTGGAGGTATTGTTGGCTGAAAAAGTGAATGCAAACTGGCAAAGTGCACTTGCATCCCAGAAGGCCAATGGCACCCTGGGCTGCATCAAAAGAAGCTCTCATGAGACCCCACCTGGAGTGCTGTGCCCAGCTCTGGGGATCCCAAAAAAAGGACAGTGACCTGTTGGAGCTAGTCCAGAGAAGGCCACGAAGATGGTCAGAGGGCTGGAGCACCTCTCCTACGATGACAGGCTGTTCAGCCCAGAGAACAGAAGGCTCCAAGGGCACCAAAAAGCAGCATTCCAGTACCTAAAGGGGCTATGAGAGAGCTGGAGAGGGACTTTTCACAGGGACATGTTGTGATAGGATAAGGGGAAATGGCTTTAAACTGAAAGAGGGTAGGTTTAAATAAGTATTAGGAAGAAATTATTTACTGTGAGGGTGGTGAAGCACTGGAACAGACTGCCCAGAGAAGTTGTGGATGCCTCATCCCTGTTCAAGGCCAAGTTGGATGGGGCCCTGAGCTACCTGGTGTAGTGGAAAGTGTCCCTGCCCATGGCAGGGCAGTTGGAACTAGATGATCTTTAAGATCACTTCCAACCCAAACCATTCTATGATTCTATTGTATTTTATCTTTCTATTGGACTGGGTCCAAAGGAAAGGACCAGCATTATTACTTCCACTTGTAGGGTTGTTGATTAAGATCTTTGAACTTATTCGAATGAACTGCAATGCCAGATGATGGTGTCAGTGATGGAGGCACAGAGTCCATGGAATTACAAGCCTTAAGGTTTGACAAGGGAAAAGAGGTTTATGGGTGGCCAGGCTGAATAAGCTGAGCAGATGGGGACACAGGATTTATCAGGGCCTCCTGCTCACTCACATGGCTCCACACGGAAGGACAGGACATTGTGTGCCAGTTCAGGCCTGAGACAAACAAAGCCAAAGATGAAGCCAAGCTGACACCTCCACATATGTCAGTCTTTGCTTTCAGTTCCTTCAAAAGTGCTACACTTCCTTCATAGAGCGATATGCTTAGGATGACCATTTCTACATACTGTGCTCCTTGGAACCTACTAAGTGAATTCTGGGGGATGAGGTGAAGACCAGATCTCTGAACAGAGCAATTTTCAAAGGAAGGTCAACAATATCTACTCGTGGGGCTAACATATGGCTAGTAACACTCTGGAAGTGAGAAGTGGCCAATTGGCAGAGAATAGACTTGTGCTTTCCACTAGGATGTCCAAGCAGCTCAGACATAGTGCTGTTGGAAACACAATGGTCTAAAGATGTAAACAAGGAAAGGTCTCTATGGAGAACATCAATTTGCCCAATTGATATTGTGGGAACAAAGCAGGCAGACTTGCAACCCAACATCTTCTTCCGCGTTACATATAGAAAGTGTATATGTTTTTGCCAGCTACATCGTTGGGTTAGTAGTAAATAGCCTGTCTTCTTTTGAACTCTGCTTTTGATGTGTGGAGAAAGATTTAC